GGCCGAAGTCGGGGCCGGCGGAAGACGGGGATTCAAGGTCACCACACGCCGCACGCCGTCGACTGAGCAGCGGGTCGTTTGCGCGACATGAATCGACTCTTGCATCTGCCAAACAAAATGCAAGCTCCGACGACCCCTGCAGCCAGGCAGCTCTCCTGGGTGACCTGGCTCATAGCAAGTGTCACATCACATGCACACGTAGAGCATCAACAGCACAAGGCTCGAGGGAAGTAGGTGGTTCATGGTGGTTCTGGCGTCTGACGGGCCTTTGTCACCACCGCACCCGTCTGCGTCTTGACATAAACAGGCGGCCTCGAGGGCGCGCTTGCCGACATCCGCACTTCGAATTCCGAGCTGCAGACGCGCTTTGGGAGAGCAGTTTGATTGCAATTCCGAGGCCAAGGCAGAACTCGGGCGGGACCTGAGTCTGCGCGCGCGGGCGCGTTTCCGAGCCAGGCTCATGCACTCCCTTTCCACTCCGGGGCCCACTGCCCTGCACTCACTGCTCTCTTGAACCATGCGGCAATCGTCTGGGGCACCAACTGACCTCGCGGCTCACCTGGACTTTGGTACCAGTAAGGAACCAAACAACGACATGTGGGAGAGGGGGGCAGGAAATAGCAGGAACCTGAAGTAGTTCGCTGAGCGCCGAGCCACCCGCACTCGTGAGGTCACCATGGACGAGGTGCCGCTAGCTACTGCCTGCACCCTTCGAAAGTTGGAGCCGGCAAGGCTTCGGCTTCGTCGGCGAAGCACCATGGCAGCGCGTTCAATGAGTCTGCTTCCCAGCACTTCAGTGTCTACAGTAGGTTGAATGCCCCTGTTTGCATCTTACGAACTGCACTTCGCCAGCAGGGGTCCGATTTTTGCGTTCTGCTTGGCGTCTTGAGAAGTACAAGGTTCGCTGGGTTGGGCTTGGTTTACGCTCTCGGTTTGAGGGTTTCGAACCGCACAGCTTGCGCAATCCGGGCGAGGGGGTTCGCGAATAGACCTTCGACAAGGGTCTGGGGCGACGAAACAGCAGTGCAGCACTAAGTCACACAGCCGGAAGCCTTGGTACTGCATGCTTCCCCAAGCCAAGCTACACAAGAGCGGACTGCAGACGGCCACAGCACGCAAAGTCGGCACCGCCCAATTGCTTGGCCAGATAAGCGACACATAAAGTTGGTGCTAGCTGCTTGGGCAGACCCACAACATGCAGAGTTGGCGCGAACTGTTCGGGATTTTGATTTTGGGGGGATGTTTCAATCCAAAGCCGCATACGAGACGAACCGCTGCGCGGCTGCACGAGCTAGGGAGACGAACCCACAGACACCTCGGCGAGCAAACGGAACACATAACAACAGCCAGTATGTCGACCGAAGCTGCGAGTATTTTGCTGGCATTCTCAGTTGCACCGCAAAGATAATTTCTAACGAGCACAGATCTCTTCGTTAATACACTGGAAACGGTGTGCCTCATCATCGCGTGAATCCCATTCGCCGTGGTCACATGCCCCCACCTCCTAGGGTAGCTACCCGTACTCGAACAACTTCCACCAACAGCCAGCATCGCATGTGGGGCCAGGGCTCTGTGCATCTGCAAACTCGAGAATTGAGCTCGTGCGTTCTGTGCCGTGCGTCAGCTCAATGCCTGGCAAGTGCATCAGAAAATATCCATGGGCCATGGGGACATCTCCTGGTTCAACACCAAGT